CCCCAATTCTATCCAAAGGAATACTGACAATGGATTGCTGTAGATGAGGAACAGCTGATCCTCCTGGAACAGGGACCTCTGGCTGACTAGATTTATCAGAAGGACAGATGGGGGCAATAGATGGGGGTCCTGACAACACAGTGGACATTGGCAGGGATGACAGAGTATGGAGGCTCTAGAGGGAGAAGAAGGCTGTTTATCTGACGAGTTTATATTCATACTCAGATGCCACGGAACTCAGAAAGTAAGTGACTGTGACCAGTAATAGTCATATATATAGAGATTAGAAATGCATGTGAAAACGTCTCAATGTCAGTTGCCTTAAAATGAATTTTTCTGTATGAAACTGTATTTTAACAACGAAGTGGAGATCTTTTCTAAACATTAAAACCTCATTTAATTTTATGTCTTGTAGAGTTTATAATCAGTAAAAGATTGTACAAGCGTAATAATTCCTCTGTAAACCTAAAAATGTACAGCCAATTTTGAAAGAGATGTACCCTAGCTCAGAAAAATGTTATTGAATAGGTTAATGCTGTTGTAATGAAATGCTTCTTCGAATTAAAAAAATAAATAAAAAATAAAAATTAAAAAATAAAAAAATTAAAAATACTGTTTAAAAATCATTGAAACAATTATATTGTTTCAATGTACACTTAGTGACATTTATGGTAAGGAAATAATGCTTCAATAAAGCTATTGATAGTTAAAGACTGGCTGGTGCCTCAGGGGATACACTATAAATAAGCCCAATACCACAGTTAGGTGCAGAAAACACAAAAATGAGAAAGACATAATTTGTTGAATTAGAAAAACAAAGATATGCTCTATATTAAAGCTTCTTCTGTGGGAGACTGAGGCAGGAGAATTGCAAGCTCCAGGATAACTAGATTACATGTGGAGTTTCAGGCTAGTCTGGGCTACATAGCAAGACCTTGTTTCAAAAATAAATAAATGAAAATAAAACACTTTTTCCCATTTAGGAGCAATTGAAATATTTGCCACCCAGTTGAACCATGCAGGAAGATATACTTGTGTTGCTAAGAACGCAGCTGGCTCAGCACACCGGCATGTAACCCTTCGCGTCCAAGGTATGGAAACCTGTTTATTCACCGCAGTCTTGCTGGGTGGTCTTGGCTGTAGCTCAGTGTCCAGAGGACTTCTCAAGGTTGTGCAAAGCCCTGGGCTTGAACCCAGCACAAAAAAAATGTTTCCTGGGCTTAAGGGGTGGAGTTATTTGCTTGTGTTTTCATGTCACATTTATTCTTAAAAGATGGTACTCTCTTGGGATGAAGAGCTGACTCAGTAGTTAAGAGCACTGGCTGCTCTTGCAGAGAACCCAGGTTTGGTTCCCAGCACCCACCTGACAGCTAAGAACCATCTGTAACTCCAGTTCCAGGGGATCCTACACCCTCTTTTGGCCCCATGGGCACTGCATACACATGATATATTTACATACATGTAGGCAAACACTTATTTAAACACATAAATAAAAATCAAAAACTTTTAAAGAATTATTTTTAATCTGGCACTATTTGAAACTGTAATCCACAGTAGTATCTTAGGATATGAAAACCTGGAAGATATTTTTCAGTAGACTGGAAGGATATACAGATGACAAACTATGCAGAACAATCCCAAAATATTTTTCTTCTTCAGTTTTGAGGTCTCTTCCAACTTCTGTTCCCCCCTCACACACACATACGCATAGAGTTCTATGGCAAATGTTATCATAGTAAGATTTAAAGAACAAAATGGGGCCAGTCATTGCCTTTCCCTCAGACAATCAAATGTCTAGTATTTTGGAACTGAAGATTCAGCTCATTTAAGCTCTTCACTGCCACAGACGGTTCTGCTAATAACCAATACTGTTCTCTCTGTTGGTTGGTTTTTATAGAACCTCCAATCATTCAGCCCCAGCCAAGTGAACTGGATGTCATTCTAAACAACCCCATCTCACTACCATGTGCAGCAACAGGAACACCCAGTCCATTCATTACTTGGCAAAAAGAAGGCATCAATGTCATTACCCCAGGTACATACCAAGCTTTCACTGAAGATGATCATGGAACATTCAGTGTTTTGTAATTCAGAAGTCAGTATGCTTTTTTAAGTGAAAATAAAAATTCTTTTCACTATGCTTTTGTAACTGTGGTATAGGCAAAAGTCACGCTGTTCTTCCTAGTGGCGCCTTACAGATCTCCAGAGCTGCCCGAGAGGATGCTGGTACCTACATGTGTGTGGCTCAGAACCCAGCTGGTACAGCCTTGGGCAAAATCAAGCTAAATGTACAAGGTATTTGAGTAACTCGTCTCTATGTCTCAAAGATCTTTGTACCAATATATACTGATTATTCATATATAGTGATTTGGCTGCTCTTACAGCTCTTCTCACTCTTTGTTAGCATTTTTGTTTTCCTGTTTGCCTTTTTAAAGAAGACAGTTCAATCTTTTTACATTGTATAAGATCAACGGGGCCGCTTTCATAATTTTAACTTCTATGAAACTCAAAACAATAGTCATTTCTTTGTGGTTGCACTTTCTATGACTTTAATTTCCTACAGTCAATAATAGTGTAAAACTGTTAAATAAGATATTCTTGTAATGAATAAGCTCTAAGTTTTCGTTTCTTCTGAGTAATATAAATTTATCTGTTCTGTGAAGTAGCAGTCTGTCTAGCACATCCAAGTTTCATAGACTACCCACCTTCGAGTCACTTAGTAGTCATCTCAGTGTCAAACCAACTGTCACAGGAGTGCAGTGCTTGTGATCAGGTACCTGTCTTTTACTGAATGACAGCCTCAAACTGCAAGAGTTGCAATATTAGTCATTCACATACTCCAGAAAAAAACTGTACAGCATTTCCTTTAAATGAAAATATTAGAGGCTGGAGAGATGGCTCTGTGGTTAAGAGCACTGACTGCTCTTGCAGAGGACCCGGGTTTGATTCCCAGCACCCATATGCAGCAACAAACCATCCTTAACTCCAGTTCCAGAGGAATCCGAAGCCCACTTCTGACCTCCATGGCACTGCATGACATGGGTGCACTCAATACATGCAGGCAGTACACTCATATACATAAGATGAAAATAAAAATTAAATTAAATTAAAAAAAAGAAAATGTTAAAAAAAAAACAATGTGACATTTTAATAGATGAGAGACCACATCTGTGTAGTCTATTTTATTGTTAGCTATAGTCTCTTACTGTACTAATCTTATAAATTAAACTCTATTATACATATGTATATAGGAAAGAAACACAGGCTGTGAGAGTCTGCACTCTACTCTGTACAGACACCCACTGGAAATAAGTTTCAAGATACTGAATTTGAATGAGTTGATTCTGAATTTCCTTACATGTGGTTTTTTCTGGTAGAAGATTAAAATATAGTAAGGCTCATATTCCTATTTATTGGAAAGCTTAATTTCTTTGTCATTTCCAACATTTATTCAACATCAATAACTGGAATTACATTAAACATTATAGGCATGTTCCTATTTAATGATGATTATATTTTAATGGAGAGGGAAACATAAATCACTATATAATGAAATAATGATAAATTCTGGTTAGAGCTGTGCAAAGGAAAAGCCAGACACTGACATGATAAACAATATAAATGAGAAAAATCAGGGTTTTTTAGGTCAGGGTTTAGGGCAGGCTTCTGTCGGGGCAGGGTTGAGGCAACATCTCAACAGCAAGCAAGGACAAGCCAGGTTGGCAGTGTCCATGGAGAGAAGACAGCATGTGTCACAGCCTTTAGGCAGGAAGGAGTGAGGAAAGAAAGCATACAAGTCTGGCCAGAGAGTGGTGAGCAAGGAGAAGGCAGGAAAACATGAAGGAGAGAGGAGACAGGCAGGACCAGTGATGGAGGACCAGACATGATATGGGAGAATTAGAGTCCATTCTCTATGCCATGGGAAGCAGTTCACCAGGACTCTGATTTGACATTGTTTTGGTGGGTGGAGACAATATCTTAGTGAATGGAAAAGCTAAGAGAGAGAAGAATGGGCAGATTTGTCTAGACAAGGTATTATGGTCCAGAAGAAGGAGCCAGGGTGTAAACCAAAAGAGTGTTAGAAAAGTGATTAATTATGCCCGGCATGGTGGTACATGCACTTAGTACCAGCACTCAGAAGGCAGAGGCAGGTGGATCTCTACAAGACAGAGTTCAGCCTGGTCTACATGGTGAGTTCTAGGTAGGGTGGGGCTAGGGAGACCCTGTTAAGAAAAGGAGGGAGAGAGAGAGAGAGAGAAGTGATAGATTAAAGGTGTCTTTTGAAGTGGCTGGAGAGATGGTTCACCTGTTAAGAGAACTGGCTGCTCTTGCAGAGGACCCAAGTTTAATTCCCAGCACACACATAGCAGCTAACAACTGTCCCTAACTCCACATCCAGTGGAATTCTGCATCCTCTTCTGGATTCTGTGGGCACTGCAAGACATGGGTGCACTTGCATACATGCAGTCAATACACTCATATGCATAAAAATAATAAATAATATAATAAATTTTAAAATATTTTGAAAAGATATCATTTGATCTGTAAAAGCCAAGACTGCTAATGAATTTAGAAATTATAAAAGGAGAATTAATTATGTTTCCAGGGCTTCAGGCTTGAGCTTGACTATGTGGTAGTGTGGTGAAGGAACGAAGAGGAGGAAAGTCAGGGTCTGCATTTCATCATCTTAAATGCCAGACATTTTTAGAGCTCTTGATGTCAACTAGAATATTGAACTTGTATTGGAGCTCATGGAAGGTGGATAGCGTAAGATAAGAATTTGCATGTGACCAGTGTGAAATCCAGAGACTAGACATAGCCGCTCAACACAGAAGACTAAGGACAGAGTGTTGCTTTGAGGTCTGGTAGAGGAAATACAATGAGGGAAGACAGAGATGACAGAGAAAACCTAGATAGAGAGTAGGGGAAAATGATGTTTAAGAAGAGAGCCAACAGCTTCGAATGTACTGGAGTCAAAGATTAAGACTCAAATGTCTCCACCGGTTTCAGCAACATAGTGGTCAACCAAAAAAAAAAAGAAAAAGCTTCAGAATTGAATTTTCTTCACTAAATTATTTAAATTGTTAGTATAAGAACAACAAAGAGACAAAGACAGACATTAAGTATTGAAAAATAACTGAATACCCCCAAAGCAGAGATTAGGGTATACTCCAGAGGCTTGAATAGAGTCTCTGCTCACAGAGACAGTATGCAATGTGAAGCATACGCTCAACTGAGTAATTCTGGTTGCTCTACATAATCTCAGTGTGGCTGTTCATAACTCTCCACATCTTTTATTGTGGAGGCTTTAGAACTTAGCAGAACATCCAGAGCAATACCTAAGTGGTGATTGGTTTTTGTAAGCCAGGGAAGAGTTGTCATTAGCATAAGCCCTCTACGGGTGTTTGAAATGGGAAGAATTTGCATATGTAGTTATTTTCCATAATCTATTCACTCAAACAGTATTTTTAAATGTTGTACTATGTGTGAGACACATGATAATCTCTGTAGCAAATGCACGAGAAAATGTATCTTTGAGCAGTATAGTATTTCCCAAAACATGGAGGAGTCTGATCTAGAAGTTTAAGTACCTAATACATATCATACAATTCATGCATTTAACAATACTTCATTAGATTCACATGACCTTCGGAAAGACCGTTCTGAATGAGACCTTTCTGAGACCCTCATGAATATGTGCTTACCTCATTTAAAGCTGGATATTGGTTACCTTTATTTGTTAGTGTATAAACACAAATTTTCTGAAAGTACCCCATAAATTTTAATGTTCCAAACAAAACCAAACCAATGATATAGGAAAGTCAGAATTTTTGCTGCAATAGTACTGCAGTGAGTAATTAGTACTCTTGGTTTTGAACCGTCTATCTTTTAGTTCCTCCGGCCATTAGCACTCAATCAAAGGAATACGTCATTGCTGTAGATAAACCTATCTCACTACTGTGTGAGGCAGATGGCCTTCCACCACCTGACATTACATGGCATAAAGACGGGCGTGCAGTTACTGAATCCATCCGCCAGCGAATCCTGAGTTCGGGCGCTCTGCAGATAGCATTTGCTCAGCCTAATGATGCTGGTCAGTACACATGCATGGCAGCTAACGTAGCGGGATCCAGCAGCATGAGCAACACACTCACGGTCCACGGTAGGTTCCTTAACATGACTTATTTCCATCTGCTCTGTCTCCATGGTAATGAGAAAAGGCCAAGAGCAAATACGATGGAAATCAAAAACCAAAGCATGTGTGGGGAGAAGAGCGTGGCTGTATTTGCCCTTCAGATCTGTGTTCCAAAGCTGTGTGTGTTTGCGTGTGCACACAGATGTGTGAGAGATGATAGCCTTAGCCCTTCCAGGAAAATCAGCGTGTGGCCAATACTCCCTTTGCGCTGTGATTATTGGGCCTGCCTGGCTTGTGAAGAGTCCATGTGTGTTTCTGGGTTCTTCTATTTCACTTCTTGTAGTTTCAAGTCATTTGGGTTCAAAACTAATCCCCATATAACCCACAGTGTACATGAAGTTTGAACCCAGTGGGAACTGCTGATCTATTTGATTCATTATTTTAATATGGCAAAATATTTACCTGCATATTCTGTTTTCTTTGTTTTAAAACATAGAACAAAACATCCTTTAAAAATATCTAAAATCAGCATTAAAATGTTAGCTTTGTCATATATTTTAAAGTAAGGATAGAGTCTGCTAATATCAGTGATGAGAAACCATAGCAAACTGTTTCCAACTACTGTTTTTAGAGGTAACATTTTAATAAATGCTTTTTGCTTTTTACTTCATTCAAAAATTTATGAAATCCTTATTTTTCAACTGTATTTGAATCTTATGTGTGATTTCATAGTAATTAAGATAATTTCAAGTGGAATCCTTTTTTTTTTTTTAAGCTACTTTTTTTTTTATCTTTTTGAGATAGGGTCTCCCTATAGTCCCAGCTGGCCTGGAACTCACTATGTAGACCAGGCTGGCCTTGAACTCACAGAGATCCGCCTGCCTCTGCCTCCCAAGTGCTGGGACTACAGGCGTGCGCCACCACACCCAGCAAGTGGAATCCTTTTAATTGAATAAATAATTTAGCCAAATTAAAAGTCATAATTTATAAATTTTCCAAATTTCTTCTTTGCCTTTAGTCACTGTATTGAACTGTACTTTAGCCCTCTACCTTCAGACAGCTTCTTTTAAATCATTTGTAGACATTTTACCAAAATTGCCCATGTGCCAAACAACAATAGTTATAAAAATTTTATAAAATGATGTCTAGATACTAAAATGTACAATGTGTGGTCAAAGATAATGTCACCTATAAATTCATAGCCTTAATTTTTTTTCATTTCAAAAAAGGTAAAGAACTCAAAGATATGTACTGTACTCTAAGGTTGGGAGGCACTATCCCAAAATTCTAGCACTTAGGAGGCTAGGCACAAGAATCAGGAGGTCAAAGTCCTTGACTATATCATGAACTTGAGATCAGCCTAGACTGCATTAGACCCAGTCTTAAAACAACAATAAAAGTTTAAAAATAAAAAGAAATAAATAAAATGTACCATTGTTATGTACCCATAACCCTTAGTAAAACAGAAATAGCAGCCCTCAAAAGAAAACAAAAGATGAAGGAGCTAGCGAGAATACAGTATAAATTAATGCTAAGTAGATTTTTGTTTTTCCAACTTATTTATAATGTTTATACAAGTAGCCATTCGGGTAATGGTATTATACTTACTTATATAGTCAGAGAAAGATGTAAGATGTAAAAGCTTATATAGAAACTTTATTTTTCCTGAAAGCAGCTGTTAAAATGTCATGAAGATTGATCCATTGCTCATCCATATGCTTGAATAATTGCTAAACTTGTTGTTTGGGGGGGGTAGATTTTAATTTTAGCACTAAGAAGAGCTAATATTTTTTTCAATATTTTACGTCCTTTCTTTGGCAATAAAGATGTTAGTTACAAGTCCACTAAGGTATTTCTGAGTAACTGACTATTCAGCTCATCCCCGTGGTGGCTAAATTCCAGTGAGAGAAAGGAATGGAGTCACAGGACGTGTGAACACATAACAGCATATGGAATTACAAAGTCATGATAGAAGTTTCCTCTGTGATAGTACAAAAAGTGAAATAAATGTCTTGATCTGGCTTGACTTGTATTTGTTGTAACAAGTGTGGCTACTGTAGCAAAAATTTCCCATGGTACCTTGTGATATTCAAATCTCAGCAAATGCTTTATAGTGTTTTACAGCGGCTGTGACTAGTTCATTTTCTCAATATATATCTTTGAAGCAACTCCAGCAAACTATAACCACAGAAACATTCGTGGTTTTGATTGTTTCCCTTCAATTCAGTTAAGCAGAAGAAACTCAAGTGCAGAAAAGTCAGAAAGCCAAATAAATTTTAAAGATTTCCAGCCCATTTCTATGTCACTTGCTCAGAAACTAAATGTAAACATATTCAGTAAAGTCATTCTTGCTACTGTCAAAAATCTTGGAAGACCTACACAAGGTCAAACCAGTTTAAAATTCCAGCATGGTTAGGGCTTGGGCTATTGCGGCCTAACCCCCAGCTGAGATGAGGAGCTTTGGAAGTTGATAGGTGCTGGGGGAGGGATAGTTATCTTTCTTTGAGGGAGGTGACCATTCAGAAGCATTCAATCAATTCATCTCATATTTATTATTTTTTCTTTCTTTCTTTTTTTTCATTAATTTTTTATTTTATGTGTTATCTTTCTTTGAGAGAGGTGACCACTGGTAGGATTCTCATGTATTCTAAATGATCTCACACCCCTGAGTATATGGGCAGCACTAACTGGACTCAGGGGTATATATATTTAGAAGGGAATGTGATTGAGGGTCCTAAGTCGAGCTGGGTAGAGGAAAGTGGGAGCAGATATGAGCAAGGTACATTGTATAAATGTATTAAATTTTCAAAGAATAAATTTCAATATTGTTTTAAAAATGGATTGCTTTCATAGCAAAACAAAAAATCTTCACAGCTTATTTTTAGTATTCCTAGCAAAATTTCCTTTGAAAGAGTCTTTTGTGTGTTGATTTTTGATGAGCATAAAGTTATGCTTGAAGTTAACCTTCTGGGCGACTGTCTTTTCTCAATTCTTCATAGTACCACCCCGGATCAGAAGTTCAGAAGAGCTCTACACAGTCAATGAGAACTCCCAGGCCGTTCTCCCATGTGTTGCTGATGGAATCCCCACACCAGCAATTAGCTGGAAAAAAGACAATGTTCTTTTAGCCAACTTATTAGGAAAATACACTACTGAACCATATGGAGAACTCATTTTGGAAAATGTTGTGGTAAGTTTAATAGACATAAGTAGACACAGTAAGCCAGATGGTCAATTACCTTCCTCATTTTAGTAATTTAGCCTGGAAATATTTCCTTCAATAATGGAAGAAAATACTCTTATAAATTCATAAGATTAATTGCTCATGTATTTCCTTTTCTCTCCTTAGAATTAGAGCAGTATTTAACAGAGTAGAAACAAATAAATAGCTTCTAAAATTGTCATTTTGCCTGGCATGGTGGCACATGCCTTTAGTACCAGTGCTAGAGAGACAGAGGCAGGCAGATCTCTGTGAGATCGAGGCTAGCCTGGTCTACATAGTGAGTTCCAGGCCAGCTGGGGCTACAAGGAGACCCTGTCTCAAAAAACACAAACAACCCATTAAAATTGTCATTTTTATTTTATGGACATCTATCTTAAGAAACATTCTAAGTGCCTGTACTGTGTAACTACAGCTGTGTGTGGAATGGATGAGGAGCATGTTCTTAGGAATATCTGAGTTATTGCAGAGAAAAATATCAAAAAGATGTTTTTCTCTGGGTGAGTTTTAAATAACCCTGTCTAATCATTGACTTGGAAACTGAAACTTCAGGGAGCTGCACAAACTGAGGACACTTCATATTCTCAGATCTGCAAGACAGTCACCATCAAGCAGAGACAGCTGAGTTTTCAGTGTTCTCCTACTTGAGAAATCTACCTACAGATACAATTACACTTCTAAACCTTAAGAAAATAAATGAAAAAACAAAAAGTTTAAAACTTGTGAAACAATGAGCTGAAACTTTGTGAGACAATGGGTCGGACACATCTAAAGGACCCAGAAATAAGGCAGCTTAGCTGTATCAGATGGCAGACATATATAGAACTCTATTTGTGAATATGTATGAATCACAGTTCTTAATACTAGGGAAAAATCTGTAATATGTACAGACCTGGGTATATTCAGAAGCATTCAATCAATTCATCTCATATTTATTATTTTTTCTTTGTTTCTTTTTTTCCATTAATTTTTTTTTTATTTTATGTGTACATGTATATCACCTGCATGTACTTAAGTACACCTGTGTCATGCAATGCCTACGGAGGACAGAAGAGGGCTTAAAGGGCTTCAGATCTCCTAGAACTGGAGTTACAGACCATTGTTAGCCACTATGTGGGTACTGGGAATCAAACCCTGGTCCTCTGCAAGAGCAGCCAGTGCTCTTAACCACTGCGCCATCTCTCCAGCCCTCTTCTCATATTTATTAAGCACCTTTTCTTTGACTAACACTAAGAAACAAAATAACCAAAGACCCTTGCCCGTGAAGTTAATGCCCAGAAGAATGAGACAGATGATGAAGACTAAAATAAAAGTAATAATAATGTTATTTTTAAAACATAAAAATAAAAGATGGGTAGAGGGAAACAGTACAGGTTACAGATCTAAATAGGGTGGTCAGAGCAAGACACCATTTGAGCAAAATCTGAAGGAAGTGACTTAACCAAGCAATTATCCAAAGAAGGCACATAGCAGGCACAGTACAGTAACCAGTAGAACACCAGGAGAACAAAGAGCTTCAGTGGGAGCGTGCTTGGTATATTTGAGAAACTCATGGCCAGTGAAAGAAAGGAAAGAGAATGAAATCAGGAAAGAAATTAGAAAAATGGAGGCCAGATCAGGTAAAACCTTGTAGATCGTTGGAAACTTGTGGATCACGGATTTGCCTTTTACTCTTAGTAAAAGTCGGAATTTGTTGCAAATTTTCAGCAAGGGAACAATAATATTTCCCTGTGCTTCTGAAGGATTAGACTGCTCTGATGGTGATAACAAACAGTAGGATGCAGAGGTGAAGCAGAAAGATGTGGGGAAGATAGATGGAGAGCAGATGATAGAGCTCGCTGCTGAATTTTAGCAGAGAAGTGAGAAGTAGTGGGAGCCGCACAGGCTTTGCAGTCGGCACATACTGAGGATTGTCAGTGGATGGCTTAAATGTCTGAGTCTTCAACAGCATGAACAGTAGTCGAATGGAACAGCCATTGCCTGAAGTGGGGATGCCTGTAGATAGCAAGGGAAGGGGCAGTCTCAATTCCTTGGCCACTCCCATGCCACCTGTAGCCATCTGCTGGCAACTAGGTATCCAAGGAGAAACTGAAATAAGTTTAATGTAACTGGAATTTGGAAATAAATTTTGGGTTAGAGCTATAGGAAATCATCAACATATGGATGGCATTTAAAGCCAAGATACTTGATGAACTATCCAATGCAGATGGAGACTGAAAGGGGACCAAAGACTGAGCCCCTAACAAGCCAATGTTAAGATGTCGATTTGGAGGGGAAGACAGTAACAGTGGGTGGAGAGGAACGAACAGAGGGGTAGCTGGGAAAACGTGGCACTCAAGTGAAGATATGAAAGCTAATGTTCAATGCTGCGGGCCTGTCAAGCACAGTGAGTGATGAGACTGGCCAGTGGACTCAGCAAGGGAAACTGCGGAATTACAGGGAGCATCACATCTGGTCTCACCGTGTTTTCTGATGATTTGGGTGGTGTCTGGTCACATTACCCAGAAGGCCCACTATGTCCTCAAGATGCCTTTCCTGGAACATTGCAGAGACGCAGAACCCATGATGTTTTCTGAGATCTTCTGAAATGATTGCTGATTATGTATGGTATGGGTTTATCCTGAACTCATACATTTTAAATTACATTATGCAAAATCTAACTTGATGGTTTAGACTAAAAGATGGAAATTTAAATTGCCTTTAGGTAATTTGGGGGAGCCAGCACTATGTTCTTGTGTATTTTACGTAATGGAATTCAATATACTAACATCTGAAACCATATTTCTTTTTAAAATCTTTAGCTGGAGGATTCTGGGATCTATACCTGTGTTGCTAGCAATGCTGCTGGTGAAGATACACATACTGTGACCCTCACAGTACATGGTCTCCCCACTTTTATTGAACTTCCTGGAGACCTGTCATTAAATAAAGGAGAACAGCTACAGTTAAGTTGTAAGGCAACTGGAATTCCATTGCCCAAATTGACATGGACCTTCAACAACAATATTATTCCAGGTTGGTGATTTAATTCTTCAGATGTAAATGAATGCACCCACACAGAAGTCTGGCCCATTCTCTCTTCCTCTAGCTGTAGGAGTTAAGACGAACACAGAGTTGATTACTTTAAATTCTGTAAAATGGCCAGGAGTTGTGGTACACACCTGCAGTCCCCACATTTGAGAAGTGGAGGCAGGAGGATTAGGAGTTCACAGTCAACTTTGGCCACATGGCAAATTAGAGGCCAGCTTGGGCTACCCTAGACCCTGTCTCAAAACAAACAAAGAGAGCCAAAAACAAATTCTGTAAAATGTTTGCTTCTGCCCAGTATATATGCATTGTTTGTTCTTTTGAAAAGATGACTTGATCACAACATTGCATGCTGTAATTACAACTTTTAACCAAAACAATAATAATCCCTCTTTCCAAAAGAAGACAACATTGTATCTTAGGCACCTAGACTTATCTCTGGTGAACCTCCTTCATCACTGATCAATGGGTAAGGGGTTGCTGTTGGGGTCCTGATGACTCATTAATTTTACAGAATATAAAGCTTCTCAGTGTGTGAATGAACTTCAAGACTAAATAGATTAATGTATGTAGAAAATTTCTTGTCATTATATATATGGCATGTCAAGGTAGTGCCTGGACCCAGGGAGCACTCATCCCCAGGAGACAAATATCTCTGTACTTGTTTGATTTTTGTTTTTTGTTGTTAGTGTAAAAACATTGTCAATAATGAAAACACTTCCTGTCCCCAAGTTAACTTCTGATTAGCATCTACTAAATGCCTTGCTAGGAAAGTGATAATAAGCTTGAATTATTCCTGCTTAAGGAACTATGTTATGACTGGAATTCATCAACAATATCAACTTAGTAACAACGTAATATACCTTGCTAAAGAAAGACAATGTTCAAAAACCCAACCAGTACTATTTTCCAAAGGCATAGCACTAATTTAGGTAGTTAAGCTTTTAAGCATAATTTTCCACTTAATATTCAATGGTACAAGATCTTTAAAATAAAATGAGAAAAATGCATGCAAAGTGAACATGCTTACATAATTAGAAGTCAACTTTTTTAATTAGATTGTTATTTAGTACCGGTTGTTTTAAGATTAGCGTGCTTACCTCATGGCCTCTTCCAAAGGTGATAGCCTCCTTCGTAAATATTCACATCCCCACAATTTATGGTTGTTGGAGAGGTTTAAGTTATTACATATTTGGTTGTGTTATTATTACCTAACAAAGATGCATTTTCCTGATTTCCCCTCTGACCTGTCAAGTCAGTTGAATTACAGCTGAAAAGGTGTTCCTACCATTGATGTAAATTGTTTTGGAAGAAAACGAGCAGGGAGATAAATGAAATGGAAAATGTCATATTTCTGAATGAAAGGTTTTTGACACTCAGATCCTGCTTTAAGCAACACATTGAGATGAAAGAAGCACTTTAAAATGCTTTTAAAAAAGATGTTTGTTTTCCTTCTCTTTTCCTGTTCCGTAGGCTGTTTTTCATCCCTCAAACAAGTGTCTACAGACACAGTTACTAGCTCGAGGGAAGTATCTGTGGAAAGCACTCTGTTGTCCAGTTATGATGAGATCTCTTTGGTTCAACTGTTGACTGACTCATAAATCTAACCTGCAAAATATTACGCTGCCGTGAAACTTTTCCTAGGTCACTGAGAGGCATTTGTGTTGTTTTCTAATCTGTTTCCCTTAGCCCACTTCGACAGTGTCAATGGACACAGTGAACTTATTATTGAAAAAGTGTCAAAGGAGGACTCGGGTACTTACGTGTGCACCGCAGAGAACAGCGTTGGCTTTGTGAAAGCAATTGGATTTGTTTATGTGAAAGGTAGGTAAAAGTGATCCGTTTTTCCTTTGTAATTTATTTATAATTAATATTTGTATGTGTTTCCTTATTATATATAAATGGATTACAACTGCAATTTTAATAAATTGAAATAACGTCCAATATCACAAATGTGCAGAATCATGAGGAAAAATATATGAATATTTAGCTCGAAAGTAGGAAAGGGACTGGAGAGATGGTTCAGTGGATAGAGTCCTTGCCTTGCAAGCATGAGGATGTGAGTTCGGATCCCCAGAATCTGGGTAAAAGCTAGACAAGTGTGGCAGCTGCCTATAAGCCCCACACTCAGAGGAAGAGACGAGGAATCCACAGAGCAGGCTGGCTAGACAGACTCCTTGGAATTAGGGAGTTCTGGGTTCAACAAGAGACATTGCTTCAATAAATAAAGTGGAGAATAATTGAGGAAGACACCCAACCAAAGTCAGTGTTTGACCTCCACATACCTACACACACGGGGACACACACACACACACACACACGCACACCAAATACACACTACACACACCACATGCACACACATCACATACACACACACACACACACACACACACACACACACACCAAATACACACTACACACACCACACGCGCACACACCACATACACACTCCACACACCACACGCGCACACACCACATACACACTCCACACACCACACGCGCACACATCACATACACACACACACACACACACACACACACACACACACCAAAGTAAAAGTAGGAAAGAAGTAATTAAAGAGATCATTTGACATGAATCGAAATCATCCCGTAAGAGGTATGGCTTTTCCTCCCATTACTAAGCTATCCTTTTCTGTATGTCAAAAATCACACAGAAATTATCAGCATCTGCTTTGACTTTGTGCCTGTCTTATGGTATTTTCCAGAACCTCCCGTCTTCAAAGGTGATTATCCCTCCAACTGGATTGAACCTCTTGGCGGTAATGCAATCCTGAATTGTGAAGTGAGAGGAGACCCTGCCCCAACCATCCAGTGGAGCCGCAAAGGAGCAGATATTGAAATTAGCCACAGAATCCGACAACTGGGCAATGGCTCCCTGGCTATCTATGGCACTGTGGTAAGTCTCGCTGAGCTGCTGGGCACCTACATTGTCTGGCTGTGTCAGCACCACCAGTGAGAAGTTCTTCTTACATTCCTGTTTAAATCATAAAATGTAAGCCAATATATTCTTGTTTTTGATGTTTTATTTGAATATTTTAAGTTTATGTTTTAACTGATACATATATATGAATACAATTGTACCTATTAATAGAGTATCATGAGGTTTCAATACATATTCATTGTGTAATGTTTAAATAAAGTTAAACAGAGCTGTGTTAAACATTTATCAGAACTTCATGATGAAGACTTTCAAACTACTTTCTTCAAGCTTTGTGTTTTTATCTGCATTCATGTACTGTGAAATAACACAGCAGACTTTTTCACTCTCTCTAATGTTAGCTAGGTTCTCAGGAATCCCTCCCTCCCTCTTACCTACTCCCTAGCCTCTGGAAACCATCATCCTGCTCTCAACTTGTGAGACCAACTTTTCGTATTCTACATGATCATGCAGTACTTGTTTCTGTCGCTGGCAAATTTGACTTATCATAATGATATCCAGGTCCAACCATTTTGTCACAAATGACAGAATTTCACCCTTTATTATGGCTGAATAGTATTCTGTTGTATATATGAACACATTCATTTCATCCATCAACTAAATTATCTTAGAAATATGAAACAATTCTGCCTGTCAAATCAGTACAGGCAATAAGATGATTTTGTTGCTTTTTCCCAATCATTGATATAGTTGTTTAATATTAGCAGACAATCTCCTCAAATTTGTTTTAGGAAAAGAATCAAAGAATTACAAACTCAGTTACAAATAAGTTGTAGGACAAATTTCACCAGGAAACTGATAAATATACATGGTTTCCACAATGCTTCATTACTCAGAAAAAGTTATAAAGAAACGTTTCATCTAAAATTTTCTTAACTAGAGTAAAAATCTTTAGTTTGTTAGCTCATGTGTTGAGCCTTTCGGGTACTTTCATATTTAATTAATTGAATTAAAAACAAATAAACTATCATCGCCTAACCCATTCGGCCTTTCTCAGACCTTCTTTTCCTCATTTCTACACATTAGTTGTTGTTGATTATTCTTTCCATTCTGAGATTTTTTTTTCTGCCTTTAATTGCTGTCATACTAAGACTCAGATTCCTTTGTTTTTCTTTTTTTCTTTTTTTGAGACAGTGTCTTACATTGTAACCCTGACTGGCCTCCCTGGAACTCACTATGTAGACCAGGCTGCCCTCAAACTCACAGAGATCTGCCTGCCTCAGTTTCCTAAATGCTGGGATTAAAGGTGTGTGTCAACATGCCTGGCAAGATTTGTTCATTACTACATTTCTCTTTTTCCTCTGCACAACTCTTGTTATTAATATTTCAGAAATTTCTGATACTTTAATACCAATGTTATTATAAATGAAAATTTTATAATCATACAACTTCAGATTCCTAAATATGTAGCTCCAATGCTGAAACTCTTCCAAGTTCAGTTCAAGCTGCCTATTAGAAACTTATGCAGTGGGGGCTAGAGAGATGGCTCAGCCATTAAGGGCACCGACTGCTCTTCCAGAGGATTGGGGTTCAGTTCCCAGCACCCACATGGCAACTAATATAACTCTACTTTCAAGTCTACTTCTGGCCTCTGCAGGCATTGCACACAATGGTATACTTACACAGATGCAGGCAAAAACAAACACATTTTGGCTGGAGAGATGGCTCTGACTGCTCTTGCAGAAGGCCTGGGTTCGATTCCCAACACCCACATTACGTCTAACAATCATCCCTAACTCCAGTTCCGGGGGATCCAGCACCCTCTTTTGACCTCCAGAGATATTGCATGACATGGTTGCACTTACATGCATGCTGGCAATATACTCATACACATAAAAAAATAATAAATAAAATATCATGCAAAAAGAAAATATTTTTAAAAACACAGATACATAAAATAAAAATAGAAAACTAAATGTATAATATATTGAAATCTCAAATTAAACGCATATATGGTATAGGAAATAAAATTCATGTAGTACATATTTTCTTTATCATATATAAATTGTATAAATTTATGGCAGTCTGTAATTTATTATTACAAGTAAATTAGTTTTTCACTTTCTCACCTTAATTTTAGACTCTCTTGGGGCTCAGCTTAATGGGTTTTGGTTTGGGTTTTGGTTTTTTGGTTTTTTTGAGACAAGGTCTTCCTATGGCCCCAACTGGCCTGGAACTCACTAGGCTGGGTTCAATCCCATGGCTTTCCAGCTACCTGTGCCTCTGAGTGCTGGGACTAAAGGCGTGAGATACCATGCCTGGCTAATGTATTTTTAATAACAAAGATTAGGTAATTTGTACTGACTGGTTTAATGATCTTTAAGATAGCTATAATTATATTTTTCTTCCATAATTTTAAATATGGTTCCATAAAACATTATTTTTACTTCAATTTCCCACCCATTAGTATTCATGTAGATCAAAAAAAGGCATAAGATCAAAATGTTTTAAGTTGGAGTTCCTCCTCTTTCTACTTTTGTCACCCTCAGTGAGTTTAGACGTAGGTAGGTTGTTCTGTTTTCATTAAGATGATTTCTTAAAAAACAAAATTTCGAAAGCACTATTGTGGTGAAAGCTGGTTTTTCCCACAGACTCCTATGTTTACAAACATGCTTATTTCCATAGAATGAAGATGCTGGTGACTATACGTGTGTAGCTGCCAACGAAGCCGGGGTGGTGGAACGCAGCATGAGTCTGACTCTACAAAGTAAGCTGCTTGGGTAATCTCCAGCTAGTACTTCCTATCTTCCTATCGAAATGTTGCTTAAGGGAGGATGCCCATTTTCTTTAAGCTTGCAAGTGAGTCTGATTTTGTCTCCTGCTGATGAGGGAACAGTTGTCATGAAGAAGGACAATAGCACATGTCTACGGATACTTTTCTCTCTCTTGGCATGACATGCAGTGTGCAGTCACCGTGGCTGGAAGGCAGAGCCTTTTGACAACAGCGAGTGCCGCCCTGTGCTTCACCAGGCTCTTGGTGCATGCTTACGAAGATGTCCTTTCATATGCTTTACAGATACGTATTAGAAATGAGCACTAATTTAAATGAATTCAGAAGGCCTCCCAGACCGATTGGCATCCCTCTTCCATGAAACAGATGTGTGTTCTGGGTAGGATTCTCTGTTGGTCATGGAGCCCTGAGTAAACATCATCAGAAAACAGAGCTTTCAAAATTAGAAAAATGTGACAGGCTCCAATGGCCCAGTGGAAAGTCTACAGAACCATGTCAGGGGCTGCCCCAAAGACATCATTGTAGTGAAAAGTGAAACAAAGCAATCTATTTTGTATTTAACAGGCTGTAGTTAACATTTCCTTCATTCACTGAGAGTGATTCACTGAGAGATTCATTGAGAGATCTCTAGATTGGTATTTCCTGGCAGCTCTTTGCCAAGCTCCAGTTCTGTAAGGCTGACCAGATTGTAGATATTTAGTAGATACTAAGACAATGTTTAACTAATGTTCACACCTACCAGATGATAACCTCGGTATATTAATAGGAAAGACTGGGATCTGTGATCCAATAAACCTGAGGAAAAATGGGTTTAAAAATTCGTTTGCTTTCTAAATATCTATTAAACTCTACTAGAGGTCCAGCTTTGCTTAAGTAGGCCAAGTTTGTTTTCTACAGATTTTTCCAGAAGTATTAATATGCTGATGTGAATTATGTCTCAACAAGAGGACACATTTCACATTTTCCACATAAATTTTATTTTGATGACTCCCCTCCCCTTGTTTTTGAATGAACATAAAGATGATTCCACAGGATTCATTTCCCCTAGAAGACTGTTCCACTGACCCAGCTTATGAAAGGCATTGTTAAGATCTGCTCATGTACAAGTTCTGGCAGTGGCTCTTTTTAACAAATTATATTAAAAATACAATTCAAACTAATATTAAAGCCAAAATCAATGTTTTTATTTAGAGAAAAATATTCATATTTGGTTGATAATTATGTAAATTTTGTGCTTAATTTGACCTTGAAATATGTACACGTGGAATTTTATGCTTATATTGCTTTATAGATTTATGGACAATTAGAAATATCCAAATATGGTATCTAAAATTAAGATGTGAGTTTAGTTTCATACTTTTCTCAATCATAGCAGATAAGCTTATATAGTAAATTTATTGATAAAACATCAGTTTATAAAATATATAACATATTCTTAATATGAGGAAGTAAAGCACGGAATACTTCTAGTGTGATGTGATGCAAACATGAGTTGAAAGGTGAAGCAAGGGGTCGACACAGCGTGTGTGGAAGAGCAGTGTGCTGTGGGACCCTTGCTGAGAAGCAGAGCTAAGGTAAGCGAATGACGCCTATCAAAGTTTCTCGATGGTGTGTCAGCAATGCCTTTGCAGAAGACGCCACCCTATTATTATCACAACAAGATGCATTTAGTTCCATTTTGTTTCATGGTCTAGTTGTTACAGGCACACTCCTCCATCTAAAATAGGCTGCCACCACTTAGGATTATCTGATGCTCCTTCCCTTCTCAACATCTACCTTTCAGTTCAGTCTCACCATCACTGAGGAGCCATCCTGTCATCTTCCTCAAGAATGCCCTGACTGCCCTCTGTTCACTGGTTTAACTGTAGTTTCTTTGCAGAAAAGAAAGCATGGGTTTTATCCATCATTTAAAACTTTGTGAAGCACTACTCTTCTGATCAACCATCCTTTTTGGTCTTAAAAATAAAGCTATGTCTATATCCATAACATGTCTTTCTTTCCAAACAGGGTTCACAGCTTCCTGCTGAAATGGTCGCACTTTTGAAAATCCAGTCACAATCCTTTCTCCCTAATGAAGCCTTTCTTTGCTCTGTAGAACAATGTAAACATCCTCCTGGTACCTACATACAACTCCTTCACATCTGATTCTTTCTAGGTGTCCTAGTTTGCTTTTTGTTGCTGTGATAAACACCATGACCAACAGCAGCTTAGGGAAGAAAGGGCTTATTTCATCTTACAGATCATCATCAAGGGAAGCTAAGGCAGGAACCTGGAACAGAATCGGAAGCAGAGATCATGGAGGGATGCTGCTGCCTGGCTTGCTTCTTGCCTCACTTTCAGCCACCTTTCCTGTACAGCCAAGCTCACCCAGGGAGGGCACCATCCCACAGTGGGCTAAGTCCTCCTACATCTATTAGCAATTAAGAAAATGCCTCACAAATGTGGCCACAATCTGAGTTGTGTGCAGATGGTAACTGAAGCTCACTATGGCTCCAGGAACTTTATTGGGTGGCTTTTTCTGTTGCAGATGCTGATAACCTCACCTTCCTCTCCAAGCTCCTTGACTTCATCACCTGAATTCTCTTTTCTCTTGATTTTATTCCTCAGTGATCAGTTCTTTGTATTATTTGTAAACCTGTCCATCTCTTAATGCCTTTATATGTTTCTGTGTTTGGTCCTCTTTTTACTATGTTACATCCTTCTTTGACACAATCTTATCCAATTATGAAAGGCTCACCAGTCCATATACCTTGTCTACATCTTGATTCTGAGCTTCTCATGTGAATATATCTGAATCCACCTGCCATCTACACCTGTTTATATGAGTGTCTCACAGATATCTCAAGATCAATGTCCCAGAAAGATATAAATCATCACTCCCCAATGCCTCCCAAAAGATCTTGTCTTCCTCTTGTGTTCAATTGAGTTATCCAAACACTGAGAATATTATAGAAATCAAAACCCTAGAGCTGGAGAGATGGCTCAGCGGTTAAGAGCACTGACTGCTCTTTTGGAGGACCAGGGTTTGAGCCCAGCACCCACACTGCGGCTAACAACCATCTGTAGCTCCACTTCCAGGAGATCCAGCACCTTCTTCTGACTTCCAGAGGCATTGCGTGACATGGGTACACTTACATACATGCAGGCAATGCACTCATACACATAAAATAAAAATAATAAGTACAATTTTTTAAAAAGGAATCAAAACGCTGGAGCCATCCATTCTTCTCTTTAATTCATTCTATTCGATGGCAAAGGCCTGTCACTCCTACTTTCTTTTTCATTATGCTTTCCTCTTCCATTCCATTTCCAGTGACTGATTCGCCTGATGTGCTAAGTAGAGATTTGTTTTATCTGTCTCAACACCTACCATAGGGCCTAGAAAACAGAAACTTCTCAGTGCATGTCCACTAAACAAATGATTGCTGGTGAGTGATGGAAGAATGAGTTAATCATGACTCTGCCTCAAAAGTGTTTGAAGAAAAGAATTGAGTGTTCATCATGTGAAACTGCCAAAAACAACAAGAGCAACTAAGGGTAGTAGGTGTTTTCTCTGTTTAAAAGTTGTGCTCACTTCAAGGTAGTTGGGTATAACAGGAATCCTTTAGTGAGCACCATCTGTAAGGACATAGATGCTCAGAGAGTGGTAGAAACCGAGGTGGCAAAAAGCCCATGTGTTAGGCTAACCCAATTGGGGGATTTCAAGTACTTTGATATTTACTAAATAAAATAAGGCTCTGAAAATTTTTTATTAGTGGCCATTACAATTCGTAATCTTTGTAACTGGGAAGCAACAGTGCTTAGATAAGGAAATCAGCCAAATGTTTTTTTTTTTTTCTTTTCTTTTTAAAAATAAGGTCACTGGGCCGGGCATGGTGGTACATGCCTTTGATCCCAACACTCAGGAGGCAGAGGCAGGTGGATCTCTGTGAGTTCAAGGCCAGCCTGGTCTACATAGTGAGTTCCAAGTCAGCTGGGGCTACAGGAAGACCCTGTCTCAAAAAGACCAAAAATAAACAAATAAATAAGGTCACCAATTAATATAGGACAAAAAATGTTAAAATAGCTCCATAAAAACCAAGAAGGGGTCTATGCTTCTCCCATAGGTCCTCCTGTTATCACTCTTGAGCCAGTGGAAACTATTGTGAATGCTGGTGGCAGAGTCATACTAGACTGTCAGGCAACTGGTGAACCTCGGCCAGCCATCACCTGGTCCCGCCAAGGACACTCCATTCCCTGGGATGACCGAGTTAGCATGCTGTCCAACAACTCATTCTATATTGCGGCTGCTCGGAAAGAAGACACCTCTGAGTATGAATGTGTTGCTCGAAACTTGATGGGCTCTGTCCTTGTCAGAGTGCCAGTCATAGTCCAGGGTAAGTGTGGAAACAGTAGCCAGGGCAGCTCAGAGCACCAAAATTATGAAGCATCTTCATCCAAGTTTCCTTTCAGTTTATGGACTAACAGCACTAAATTAATGCAGATTAGAGTTTCAGATACCATGCTGACAATTCAAGATCTTAAACTAAAATTGTATTCGAATTTAAGACAAAAAATATTCTCAGAAAGCCATGAATTAGATATATATGATACATATCCAAATGGTAAACGGTACATAAGCTCCTTGTCTCTAACTCTTCCCATAGCCATGTCCGTGTGAGTCAGCAATGACTCTGAGAAGGAACTCCAATTGACTGAAGTTCTTCCCTCTCTTCTAGCTATTCATCTTTCCCCTAAAGGAAAACTCCCATAGCTGTTCCATAGCAACCACAGACTCAGCACTGCACCCAGTATATAACTTAAATGAAGTCTGGCTTACAATTTTTTTGCTTATAATCCTGAGATGATGTGCAATGTTTTTTTGCAGTTCATGGTGGGTTTTCCCCATGGTCTGTCTGGAGGTCCTGCAGTGTCACCTGCGGAAAAGGCATCCAAAAGAGGAGCCGGCTGTGTAACAACCCCCTTCCAGCCAATGGCGGGAAGCCGTGTCAAGGGTCAGATTCAGAAACACGACACTGTCAAAATAAGCTCTGTCCAGGTACATCTGAATTCAGCGTGTAGGCAGGGGCTCAACAGATACTAATTTCTGTTCCCTACCTTTGGATTACCTCAGGATCAGTGTTTCCTACTGAAATTTACTTGATGGTATAATGGTTTACCTCTGTGTAGTGGATGGTCACTGGTCAGAATGGAGTCTTTGGGAAGAATGCACAAGAAGCTGTGGGCATGGCAACCAAACCAGGACCAGGACTTGCAGTAACCCATCAGCTCAGCACGGTGGGCGGCCATGTGAAGGGAATGCTGTGGAAATCATCATGTGCAACATTAAGCCCTGCCCAGGTAAGGATCCACCAGTAACAATGGCAGGTTTTTGCACTTTGTGATTCCTGTCAAGGAGTTAATACAGATTAGAGTTTCAAATACCATGCTAATGGATTCCTTTCTTTCTTCATGTGAAACTGTATTACAGCTTCCGTCTTTGAGAATATGTTTGCTCTCAATGTTCCTTTTCTGTTTCCTGGATAATTATGTGAAGGAATGACAATGTTTAAGGCAATGTTAATCAGATTTAACAAAACATGAAAATGGCTGTATTTTGGTATTTTGTACTTTGGTGTATTTTTTATTTGTTATTTTTATTGTATATATATGCGTATATTGCCTGAATATGTGTTAAGTGCAGCCATGTCATGCAATGCCCATGGTGGTCAGAAGAGGGCATTAGATGCCCTAGAACTGGAGTTATGGACAGTTGTTAGCCATCATGTAGGTGCTGGGAATCGAACCTAGGCCTTCTGCAATAGAAGTCAATGCTCTTAACTGCTGAGCCATCTTTCCAGCCCATACTTGGTATATTTTTAATCATGCACCCAAACAATATGTACAAAAACAAAATTTGAAAAGTGATGAGGATTTGGGGTATCATCTAATTCAGCCATCCATTTTCAAAAGAGGAAATGAGCTTAGAGGTTAAAGACTTGCCCAGAAGTAAACTTCTAATGAGAAGCAGTGTGCTAAAAGTCTACCATTCACTGAATGCAAGGGTTTGGCCAGTTCTTTCATTGGTGTGTTTTCCATCTCTGATCTCCACTTATCTTCTCTTTGGCTTTATCCTCCATTAAATTCTTCCCATGTATAGAAAAACTGACCACAAAAAACTACTGGCTCACAGTGGCCTTGTTATCTTAGACCACAGAGGGAAAAAGCTCCTCTGTCTCAGACTCATTTCAGCTTCTGAGAAAGGAGTGTGTTTGATTTTGATTATGTCACATGTTTGCATACGAACTGTGGGCAGCTTGAGCGAATGCTTACCTAGCTAGTGTCGAAAGGGCTGAGGCTTCTTGTAGAGAAGAGACCGTGTAAAAGAGAGGAGGGGCTGGTCATTAACTTGTTCATTCATTCATTCATTTTTCTAAAAATACTTATTAAGTACTTACTCTGATTTCAAGACACTGCTTGAATTTCTAAATACTTGCTTGAATAGAATATGAAATGTTCCATTAAATGAAAAAGAGACTAATTAAAGTAGAAAATATCTTTTAAATAATGATAAGCTTACTGAACAAAGTCAGAGATGGGCACTAATGGAGCAAAACTAAGAGGGACACCTTAATTAGAATGGTTAAATAAGGATAAGGATGGGGGCTGGAGAGATGGCTCAGAGGTTAAGAATACTGACTGTTCTTGCGGACGACCCAGGTTCATATCCCATCTGTTACCCTAGTTCCAGGGGATCCAACACCCTTTTCTCTCCTCCACAGGCACTGAATGACATGCATGCACTTACATACATGCAGGCATAATATTCATACACATAAAATAAAAATAAATTTTAAAAAAGAGATAGAGACTTACTACATTGGGTATTGTGCCCTGTTATGCACATGAGGAAAGATTCAGAAAATACTGTGAATTCACTAAGGCTGTGTAGGTAGTTCAAAGTGAATTGAGGCTGATGTGATACCAAAGCCTATTTGCTTAGAGCCAAAGTATCTTAATACAGTTTTATTTCTATTGTATATCAAAACAAAGCAGTGAGCTGGGAATTGTGCTATATGCCTGTAATCCCAGCACTTGGGGGGCTGAGGCAAGAGGACCACAAGTTTGAGACAAACTTACGCTTTCAAAGAAATATTCTGACCTACTTAAAATAGTGAAAAGTCAAGGATTGGCTTTAGTCTTGAAGAATAAACAAGTTAATATAGTGGTACTATGTTCTGATGCAAAAAGAACGATAAATAACTTAATCAGGCTGCTGTATACTTTGTCAGCTGTGATTATTATATAATGAAAATTTTAAGGGTTTTACAAATGTGTTAAAAGTTACTCTTCAGGTTTAGTTACTATTTGTCTACTACTATTTTCCTCATTCTCCTGTTGGTCTACTATTTAGGGGGCCTTCCCTTCTCAACTGAGTGCTCAGTAATCCCACAACAATGGTGGAAATGGCTATGAAAAGTTAGCAGATGCTACGAATAAGAATTTCCCTGCTCACCTTAAGAACACTGACTGTCAAAGATTTCTTAGTTCACCATTGCACAATGGAGAGATAGCCCAAGATAATCTTCCTTATATGGAGCTATATAAGAATTTTAGGGGGCATAACAGGTTTGCTTTTAGCATGAATTTAATTTTAATAACATCAAACTTAAAGAAATGTTGCAAGAACAGCACAGAGGATCCTGGATTAGTTCAATCTAGACACACTAATCATATGTATTCCTAAATTAAAGGCATTTTTTCATAAGCACAGCACAGTTATCAAAATCAGGAAACAACATCGTATAATCTCCTTATCTCATGTCATTCTCTAATGTATGGTCCGTATTCAAATATTTTCAGTTGTTCTAGTATTATTCTTCACAATTATTTTGTTCCCAGTCTTGGATCAAGTTTATTTCTCTTTAAAATATTTTATTCATTATTTTTATTTTATGTATTTCCTGTATGCAGGTAAGTGCACCCTTGTCATGCAATGCTTGAGGAGGTCAGAAAAGGGCATCAGATCCCCCAGAACTGGAGTTACAGAAGGTTGTTAGCTGCCAAGTGGATGCTGGGAAACAAACTTGGGTCTTCTAGAGCAGCCAGTGCTTTTAACCTCTGAGCCATCTCTCCAGCCCTAGATCAAGTTTATTTCTCACACATATTTACACTTTTTTATTTGGAAATATTTTTTAGTCTCTTTTTGTCTTTCATGATGTTGAAAATTCTAAAATGTCTAAGTCAGTCATTTTGGAGAAGAATTTTCAACTTGGATTTGCCTGCTATTTCCTGCTGGTTTCATTTAGGCTTGTACTAGGGCAGGGGCACCCCAGAAATGGTCCTGCATCCTTCTCAGGAATCGATTCTGAAGTCCACATTGGTGATGTTAGCTCTGTTCACTTGTTTAAGGTGGTGTCCGCTACTGGATAGTTACTATTTTTTCTTTATAGTAAGTGTTTTGTAGGGAAACTGGATAGAAATATCTTATTAAAATCTTTAACTCACTGACTTTTAACACCCATTTGATTCTTGAATTTTCTGTGTTCTTCAGAAAAGACTGATTTTCGGTCATTATCTTTCTACAACTAAACTCTATATTATAAGAACTTTTTCTTTGTTGTTTCTTTATTTGATTTATATCAATAAGGATATTATTTAGTAGCATGATAAATGAATTATCATTCAATAGTTTAATAATACACTGTTACTTTATTTAGTATGATGCTCACAGCATCCTAAGTTTGGTTTCTGAGGCCTCCAGGCTAGCTTCAGCGCCATCCTGAGAGATCTCTGTGGCTCTTGTTGTACATCCTTACTTTCTTTTTTAGTAGTTTTTTAAATATTTTTTTTTAATTTTATGTGCATGAGTGTACTGCCTGTGTATGTGTGGGTGCACCCATATTGTGCAATGCTTGTGGAGATCAGAAGAGAGCATTGGATCCCTTGGAACTGGAGTTATGGATGATTGTTAGCCGCCATGTGGGTGCTGGGATTCGAACCAGGCTCCTCTGCAAAATCAGCCAGTGCTCTTAACCACTGAGCCATCTCTCCAGGCCCCCCCCATCCTTACTTTCTAGTGCAAGCTATCTTTATGTCGCAGATGTTGAAGCTTGATACACAGATACCAACTCACTTGTCTAAGACTGCACAGTCCATAAGGGCAGAGCAGCTCCCTAACCCCCAGGCTTGCTCTACCTTTCCTGCTCATAACCTGGAACTCAGCTTCTCTTCACAGTCAGAGCTGCCATATAGTACAACAAAGTCAGTTATTATGTTTTGAATTCTTCTTATACAGCAGTTCTTTTATATTTGTATTTTCCTTGTGCACTTGTCACGGGTCAGTGACCACAATTCAAGCCTGATGGGCTTGGGGGCCCCGAGGTATAGGTACAGAAGAAATCAGGACGCAGGGGACGCAGAGGTGAACCAATGCATGCTTTATTCTAAGAATCAACCTGATTTATAGTACAACAAGAGGAAAAGAAAATGTTCTTCTCTAGCCAACTTATCTCATTCTGACATTTGCAGTACCTTCCTGACCTTTACAATATCTTCAAGTTCCAAGGGCTCAGCCCTTTTTGGGATCTTATCTATCTTTGTAGCTTCATTATACAAGCTTACTTATGTACACTTAATAGGGTTCAAGGAACTGTCAGTCTCGTGATAGAAATCACTGCAGAAGAACATCCAAGTTCTCAGGGAACTGAAGCTTCCCAGTCCAGGTTTGAGTTTACTTCAGATCAGACCTTACTCTGAATTCACTTCAAATCAGAGCTTGGGCCTTCACAATTCCCCTTTATTTTTCATAACACCAGGTCAGGTTATAATTCTGGACAGAAAGACCGTGCCTGTCTTAGGTTGTCTTCTGCAAGAGCAAAGTCTTACCCGTCATTGGTACACAGCTTCTATCAACTACTCCCTGTCTTAGGTTGACTTTCTCCCAGAAGATCTTACCCGTCATTGGCTACTGGCCTTCATAAGCAAGAAAGCACAATCTTATATTGAATACAGTCCTTGATTTACTGCAAACCCCACTAAACTCTTCACAATGAAGGTGATTCTCTATTATCTTCAGTTTTCATTTTCTCATTATGATAATGCAAAGCAGTAATTAATGTTTCAGCAGATTGCTTACTAGTAAAGTTAGATATGATTCCAAGAACACATCGATACCCTATAAACACTACACATAAAAGTATTATAAAAGTAACAGCTGAAGATCCAAGACTATGTGACAAACTTTGCCACCATCCTCGAGGATCAAGACCAGGAAGGATGTTTGCTAAAGTAGTAGTTTCTTGATCAATAGAACTTGTAGAAGGTATTTCTTCTGAAAATATCTCATATATCTCTTCCTG